AATACTCGGAAGAATTTTCAGAAAACATTGTAAGTTCTCAAGTGGCATTCAAACATTCCAATGTTGATTCTGTTATCAAAGACGTAGAAGCACATGCGAAAAAACATGGGCTGGAATTTGATGAAGTAGAAGTACGTAAAGTCATTGCTAGACGTCTACCAGATGTCATTCGTGATTTTGCTTCTATCTCTACCGACAGTCGTCGTCAAGAAGATTTAGACAACGGCTACTTTTAATTTGGAGTTAAGAATGTCCAACAAGAATATTGTCTTTACCACCCGTTCTACAACTACGTTTAAAACTAAAGAGCAACGCCAAGAATCGGTTGATGCTTTTTTAGGTAGTATTGGGAACGATAAAGTAGAGTCAGTGGATATTCTTGCCAGAGTAACGCACAGTGATGGTCGAGTTGATCTCCATCACTTGTACACTGATCAGAACCATTCTATCCATACCTTGCAGGGTCACAAAGATCCTGCTCTACAAGGTGTGGGGGATGTTTTGAATCAAGCAATTGGCATGATAGAACACCCACTGATTCAAACCAACCACGAATCATTTTTCAAAATCAAAGATGCACCTGCACTTGAAATGAAAGATGTTAAGAAAATAGATTTTTAGATAAGGGTTGCTGGTATATCCTTATCAGGAGTATGTTAAAATGACAACAAGTAAAAATTTTGATATTAAAAGCGACTATAAGGAATATAGCGGCGATGAGTTTAAAAATTCCTTCAATGAGCTTGACCGTCTAAGTCAGCACGCTTTGGAACATGGACGATCTTTCCATTTCTCTGCAATGGTTGACATGGGCGAAGGTCAACTTCAACACATCGACATTGCTGGATCATCAGTTACAGGTGTAACGCAAGTAAATACAACTCGCTGCGAACATGGTAGCGATAACTTTACACGATTGGTCTTCAAGCATTATACAACACAATTGAATACAGCTGCAACTTCTATCGAACTGGCAGCAACAAAACAGGATTTAAACTAACATGCGAAGTTACTTAGATATACTTAAAAGCATTCGTCAACATGGTGAATTGATTGAAGGTCGAAATGGTTTTACTATTTCTTCTTTTGGCGAACGTTTCCGTCACGACTTACGCAAAGGGTTTCCTCTACTAACTGTCAAACAAGTACCAAAACGCGCACCACTTGCTGAAATGTTTGCTTTCTTGCGCGGTGAAACAAACAACCAAGGTTTTGAAGATTTGGGCTGTAAAGTATGGCGTCCTTGGGCACTTGATCATGAAGTATCTACAATTGTTTCTGAAGATCGAAACGTCTTGATCGAACGAGCCCACAACAAAGGCATTATTGCAGAACCAACAGAAGAAGCATTTGTTGCGGCTGAAAAGATTGCCAATGGTAAAGTTCAAGAATATAATGCTGCGCGTTTAGCTGCTGCTGAAAAAGCTGTAGAAAAAATTACTACCGAGCGTTCTAACTTGACTCAACAAATTGATAGTCTTCCTGAAGGTAGCGAAGAACGTAAAAAGTTGGTGGAACAGTTAAATTCCCTTGATGATGCATGTTCCGATCTACAAGCGATTAGTTATGAAGCTGTGAATAAGTTCATGGAAGAGAATGAAGCACCTCCATCATTTTACAAATTGTTAGAATCAAAAGGTGTTTCAACTACACGTAAGAAAATTACCAATGAAAAAGGCGATCTTGGTCCGATCTATGGGCAACAATGGCGACACTGGAAAACAACCAAAGGAATTGAAATTGATCAGATCAAATATGTAATCGACGAACTTACAACTGATCCTCACTCTCGTCGAATTGTTTTAAATGGTTGGAATCCTGAATTTATTCCACCTTCTTTTGCACGTAGTAGCTTGGGCGTGAAAGAGCAAATTGACTTCTCAATTGAAAATGGCTATCAAGCATTGCCACCATGTCATCTAATGACCATCTTTAAAACAACTGGTCAGGGTCGTGTGCTAAATCTACATCAGATCATGCGCTCTTGTGATGTTCCAATTGGTTTACCATTTAACATTGCAGGGTATGCATACTTGTTAAAGATCATGGCGAAACAACTGAAGATGGAAGCAGGTGAAATGATCATCGATATTACAGATGCTCATATCTACGAGAAAAACAAATCGGAAGTTTCTGAAATGTTATCTCGTGACCCAATGGAACTCTGTGAACTCACTATTCCAGATGGTATCGATATCACCGACAAGTCCACTTTGACCAACGAAAACATTGACCGTATTCTTGAAAACGTTCAAGGCTACAAGTCACATCCAAAAATCAAAATGGAAGTTTCTGTTTAATAAAACTGACCCAACCATTTATATGAACTTAACAGAACACTCAAATTAACCCACTGGAGACAATCATGTCAGATGTACAAAAAGCACAACCATTTTACGTAAAAGAAGCTACTGTTAAAGAGGCGACTGACGAACTCATTAAGGATGTATTCTCTAAAAATGAAAACATCACTGAATTTCATGTTGGTATGGTAGCTTGCCATAATGACAACAACACTTCTGTTGCTGCGGTAAGCTTTTACAATAGTGCCGAAGAAGATGTTATTTGCCATAACGCATATGGTCCAAGCAATGACAATCCGTTACAGGAATTAGCAGATACAATTTCTGGTGCAACAGGTCATTTTGATAAAGTGTTTAATACGAAGTAATTCCATGCTGGTCCGATGGAGGTAGACAATCCTCCATCTATAATCCTTTTCATAAAACCACAGGTAAGCTAACATGACTGAGAAGTTTTTAACAGGTCAAGAAATCCGCGAAAGCATTTTGAAGAACTCAGGACTTGCAATCCGAGACGATGAACGTTTTAGTGAAGCACATTTTGCAATTTCAGCCAAGCGTTTGAATAAAGATACCCATGCCGTTGCTGCAGCATCGATTTACCCAAAAGGGAGTGACATGGAATTTGAATATACGTTTAACCATGCCGATGACGCAACAGGTACAAAAGTTGTACACGATACAGTTAAAGGCATCCACGGTTTAATCACAGACGAGTTAGGTAAAGATGACGAATAAAACACAAGCAAACGAACAAGTTACAATCGACGTACTCGATATCAACCATGCTGTTGCTGAAGTATTGGATTTGGCTGGAAATGAAAATACTCAATTTACCGAAGCTCACTTTACACTTTCAACTGTAGAAGTTGGTGATGTAAAACGTGAATTTGTCGGGAGTATTGTTGCAGGTAATATTGGTGATGAAAATCCATTTGTCACCAATGCGGAAGAAGTAACAAAATAATCTGATCTAACAAGGACAAGGGGAATGCCTCTTGTCCTCTTATTGTGCCATTTTTCTTTTTATTAAAAGGAGTCATTATGACTGATTATCTAAAACGTGAAACTATTTCAGATCAAGTAACTGACCTATTAGAATCTATCCCTGTAGAAAATGCCAACCTAAAAACTTTCCACATTGGAATGAGCGCTCAGTATGCCAATGGACGTGTCATTGAAATGGCTGCAACAATTGACAATTCTGGTGCAGAAACAGGCATGTCAACAAGTAATCATCTAAACAAGAAACATGGATCAATTGCTCGTACAACAAAAGCTTTCCTCAAAGGAACTCGAATCAACAAGGATTAACCAATGCATAACGATCTCACATCCAGATGGATTGAGGAGTATTGTGCAAGTAAAGAAAGAACCCTAGAGATGGATATCTGCGTGGAACACTGTCAGATCTTTAGGGAACTATTTAGAAGTGACTATTTCTATCCAGAACCGTTTACCTACCCCAAGGTAAATGCGAAACGGGAGAAAAGAAATATTGCCAAGGTAAAATCTAAATTAAATGAGCACAGTAAATCTCATCGCAATAAAGAAAGGGTAAAGGAAGAATTGACCATGAGGGAAAATATTCTTTATGATCAAACTTGAATTTAAGAAAGGCTCGATATTCTCATCCAATGCTCAGATTCTGGTTAATCCAGTAAATACCAAAGGTGTTATGGGAGCAGGTCTAGCATTGGAGTTCAAACGTAAATTCCCAGAGAATTTCTTAGCCTACCAAAAACACTGTAAAGAACGAGATACGGTTAGATCATACCGCTACTTTCAATTTGAAGAGAAAGGTAAGATGATCTTCAATCTGGCTACCAAAGAAGATTACCAAAAACCAAGTAAACTGGGGTATGTTCGATGGGGATTGAGTTATCTAAAGTTATTTCTCAATGACTATCCTTATCGAGAACGTATACAGCGCATAGCACTGCCAGCATTGGGAGCAGGACTTGGTGGTTTAAGGCAGATTGAAGTATTGCATCAAATCTACTATCAATTGAGAAACCTTGAGTGGGATGTTACTATCGAACTGTATGGGTTTGATCGTATCTTAAAACCTATGCAAGAACATTTTCAAAGATATGTTCCTTTTGAAGTACCAAAACGAGTGACAGGCGTTGGTTCTCGAAAGATAAAACCAGAGGGTAGAGAGTTAATTGATGTCGTCAAGTATCGTTTGATCTTGTCTGAATATATTCTTGCCAGTGGAGATGCTATTGGCGCAGACGAGCAATGGTGGGAAAATTATCCACATGCGATCCGTGAACGCTTTGGGGCAATTGGATGCAAGTACCCAAAGCCAGATACAATCTTTGTTTCAGATACAGAAGCTCAATATGCCGATGCTAAAAGAATTGCATCAAAGGCATGTATTTCATGGCGATTTTTGAGACAAAACTATCATCGTGCTTTACACACTAGAAATGTTTTTCAGGTACTTGGATATGGGTTAGATACCCCATCTGAATTCCTTGTTTGCTGGACCCCAGATGGTGCAGAAGCAGAAACTTCCAAGAAGACTGGTGGTACAGGTACTGCCATTCGGGTTGCAAATACTTATGGGATACCAGTCTTCAATCTATTCAATGAAGACTGTCTGGAGAGATTGAATGATTATCTAGGTCTATCAAACCACACTAAACTTAAATGAGTACCTTAAATGAAACATATTTACTTTAGCCTTTTCATTGGAATTTCACTTTTAATTCTAGGGGCAACGCTTGGTCATGGCTCGATGCTCAACCAATCTGGTACAGCATCTTGGTATGGCGAGTACCATCAAGGAAAACTAACTGCCGATGGGGAACGGTTCAACATGCGACGCCTAACAGCCGCGCATAGATCCTATCCCTTTGGTACAATTCTACGAGTGACCAATACAAAATGCGGTAAATCTGTATTGGTCAAAGTCAATGATCGCGGTCCATATCACGGCAATCGTATTTTAGACATGACCAAAGAAGCAGCGAGGCGAATCGACATGTTGAAGATGGGAACGTCCCATGTAAAGATACATGTTGTCAGCTATCCAAAACACAAAGAACCTTACCACCATAAGACCGCAAAGGTAAGAAAGCATAAATCGATACATCGACATATGCATCGAAAGACACACAAGCACTATAGACATCGAGGTCACCACAGATGAGCATTGAGATTAGGTCATGGGTAGCTCCCCAATCTAAAAACGACGATGGTTTTTACCTATGGCTTTATCGTACAAGTTTTGATAGAACATTGAACACGGATGCAAAAGCACGTTTTATGTTCCATCAATCTGTAGTTAATTTCTTAGACGATAAAGAAATTATTGATATGGCACGTGTCGACGATGGACATCCACGATATGATGGTTTGGATAGTTCGATATTTAAAACTGATTGTGTACATTTTCAAAGTTTATTGGATCTAAAGGAAGAGATCTTTGAAGTAATCAAGGATTTACCCAATGTAAGTTGTGTGGGTAAATGGGGCGTATTTGCAATTGATGCATTTGTTGAATACAGCCCAAACCATTTTCAACAGATTACCGTCACTGTCAGCCCATCGCAGGTCGAAGTCTCTACTCGATTTGTGATACGACATATCTCAGCAATTACCGATTTCATCAATGAGGAACTCGCTGAGAAATACAAGAAACATCAAATCAATTTGTATTATGATGGTACATCTGGAGAATGGGTTTTGTCTCTTGGTAAAAGTTCCTTGAGAAAGATTAACATTCATCTTCCTAGTGGTTACGATCTTACGGTCGCCGTCAAAGAAGATGGTTTAGTGAGAAAGATGACACTCTTTAAAGATGGCTGGTCTATCAAAAATGTCAAGAACATATATCATCTATTCGATATAATGTTAGACGACAATGACTTTATGTTAAAAGTAAATAAGTCGATCTTAAAACTTCGATACTCAGCAAAAGCGATTCGTGAATTTGTACGCACACCTTATGAAAGGAGAAACATATGGGCTATTCGAGCAAGAAACATAAAAGAAACAGATCAGATTTCCAACGATTAGGCGGATCAGGTATTAAGCATCCATCTCCATTATTTAAAGACATTGAAAGCTCTAGACATTTTAGAGACTACGATATGTCAGAATTTTCGAAATCATTAGATCGAATGATGGTTAGTTTGTTGTCTAATATTCGATCTGGTGCAACTGCTATGATAGAAACCATTGCCGCTGAACGGCAGCGTGGTATGGAAATTCAGGTAGAAACTTGCAATCAATTGGAGGGTGGTTTTCCCGATACCCCTAAAAAGGATAAAGACGATATTGTCAAACTCTTTATCCCAACTCCTCAACTCAAAGAGTAAGCACTATGGGACTTTGTCAGTTCATGCTTGCCATGTATAAATACTGTACATTGTTTTTCATTGCAATGGGTGCGGTGTCTTGGCTATGTCACAGCAAGGGTTTTGCAATAGCTTGTTTCTTCATCGGCTGTTTCTTTGGATTATTTTGGTATGGTCTATATAGACTGATTTACCGCAAATGACATAACTCTCTACACAGCCCTAGGGCTGTGTAGAGTATTTAACTTATGCTTTTTTTTTTCTTTAGAATGCACCACCAACACGGATTTGGTAATGGCGACGTTGAGATTCTGGATCATTCAGTAGTTGAGATTGGAACCATGTTTCTAAAAGTTCTTCATACTTTTCTTCTGAGTCACTATAAGAATCGATGATGTCCCGCATCTTATTCATTTCCCCACCAGAGTTAATGAATGCAGTATCTTGGTCTACAATAAGTTTTGTGTAGATGTGGGATTTAACTGCTTCCAAAGCAAGTTTGTAAAAAGCTTGGAAATAAGGAGGTTGAATGTTAGATAGGTTACTATCTTGTTCTAGTGCAAGTCGTAGTTGCATTGTTGATGGTTGAACAATACTATCTTTAATTAAAATAGTATTATCTCCAACGATATATGCCAATGCATTGCTCACCACAGGAATCGCGGAGACAGTTTGCGCAGCCTGATT